GGCATATCCGTAAAGGCGTGAACGATCTCAGCACCTTGGACATAATATCAGAAAAAATTACCTTTACGACTATATCTTTTTTTTCGGATAATCCAGCTGAGGTCTGGGGATCAAGTGAGGGGACAAGGAACTCAAGAGGGACATCCCACTTTGGAATTTAAACAATTACCTATATGACTATATCTGTTTCTTGATAGCCTGGCCGAGGTCTGGGCATCAAGGAGCAAGGAGCTCAGGAGAGACATCATTCCACTTGCGACTACACTTTAGCAGATCGAAATGATTCCTTGGTCCGGCCATAATAGACGGATTTAGTTCCAGGATATGTAACAAAATTCCAACCAAATGCCGAACCTCCAACAATATACGTCCCTTCTGGTCGGCCAGCAGCTTCAGGTTGCTGCTTTTGGGAGGTGCCCCCAGAGGAAACAGTTTTATTTTCAGCTTGCCTAGTAGATGCCCTGTCACCAGGAGGCCTCTCTGGTAGTTTCACATCACGCTGATGGTCTTGTCCATGTTGGACATCAGCTGTTGGAGGCTGGCTCGCTGGAGGATCTCTGATCATCTCTCTGTAAAGATCTACCACAATCTTCATCTCTGTAAATTATTACACGTTACACATCAGTCCATTCAGGAAGCATATGTACCAGTACAAGGACGGACAACAGAGATATAAAATTCTCTTTGCTAAGATAGTAAATAATACATGTCAAAACTTGGATTCCTACTAGGCCAGAAGTTCCTTAAGTGTCACTAACTTTAAACCACGTTCAGAATAAGTACCATATAGTTAACGATACCAGAACATTGCCTATTCTCATTTGCTCAAACTTCTTATTTCTTAAAGCTGTAAAAGGTTTATCAACGAAAATGTTTAAAATTGAAAGGTACTCAAGACCTAAACTATTTGATTAGCAACCAAATGCTACCATACAGAAGCATCCCAGATAAACTTCTTAAAACAGTTTTCCAGAGGAGAAACAAAAAACAAGTTTCATCCTAAATGAACAGACCAAACTGAAAAAAATGACAAGTGCCCTAAATAAAGATATTGGTTTTTATCTTTTAAAGCTCAAGGTTAGGTTAAATATTACTCCTGCACAATGAATTTAGTTAAGGTAATGAAATCATCGTCAGATAGTCCATGAACACAATTGTAAGAAGAAAGATAAGTGGAAACTTCAAACAACTGCAATTTCAAGTGTTGCTCCTGCACAAGCAAGCAAGCAACAAAGTAGTCATAAGTTTCACAAGGAGATGGTCAAACCCACATACAGAAGCAACCCAAAAGCCTGAGTTTTCAACATTACAAATGCCTATAAAATAATTAAAAACTCTTGCAGTGAATATAAACAAAATCGAGTCAGGACCTTAAAAAAAACAACATTTGCATGGTCATAATCATTATAGAACAGAAACTGGAGCATAGGAACAAAATTATACCCAATTTAGTCCAGAAAACACATAGATAAGCAACTAACTGTATCCTCAACTACAAAATAGACCAAACACTTTCCACAAAACTTACTTTCACGAATTTCTTCAGCTGCCTTGCAGTTCTGGAAGTCAGGAGTTTTGAGAACCTTCAAGAGGTTAAAACAACCATTCAGAATAAATTTATTACCATATATTCTTTTATATGAATGTCCAATGGAAAAAATGTAAATCCGAGTCCTTCAAAGGTTCGACGCATTGACATTCAAGTCCAAACATGATGCGTGAGTCCTCACGTAATAGACGGGTTACTCAAATTCATGAAACCCCAGCTATTTCTCTCCAATATCATCACTTTAACAAACATCAGAAGTATTGAATGACTAGATGTCTAACCACAAGAATAAGAAAATATTAGATTATGCATGAAGGTAGATGTTGTGCATACTGTATAAAAGCCAAGAAATTTCCATCTGTGTCTTTACTTAGACAACAGTTATAAAAACATATCTAGCAATCCAGGAGAAGAAATGATGCACCCTCGTCTTTTCCCAAGATAAGGAGAAACTGGTCAAACTAGAATAGGTCATGGGCCAATTCAATCATCTAAATTATTCACAATATACCAAGTTAGAAGACATTTGTTTATCTCGCCTCCTCATGTCATATGCAATTCCAAGGCTCAAAAAATTACCGAGCAAGTGAATTTTGAGATGTTATTATTATGGTCAATGTCAAAGTAACATGTGTGCCGGTCTATTCTTGTCATAACTCATAACCAGTTTTGCCAAAATTGTTCTACAAAAGATTTGGTTCAAACCTAAAGAAAATGACTTCTTACTCCCACATCAGATGTTAAATTTTGGAGAACAGATCAAGGGGATAAGCATCTGTAGTGATTCAGATTTTGTGTAATCTCCAGTCAAATTCTTCCTCAATTGAAATTGGAAGAAAATGACAGCTTCAAGATTGTTCAGACCTGACATCGAAATGAGCAACTTGCACTTCTCAACAAAAAGAAAAGAAGAATTCCATTGCCTGACAGAGTAGACTACCTATGTCTTAACATAGATCGGTCATACTTGTTGAAGTGAGTGTCACATATTGCCAGTTGAACGGGAAATAATGAGAAAATACAATTCTTAATGTATGGTGCTGTTGAAGTATTTAGTTCAAAGGACTTCATCACAATTTATGAAAGTGCACTATGATGTATGACTCTCAGATGCCACCCCTTCGCTCCCTTCCCTACCACCCACCCTACTCCCTGTACCCACAAAAAAAAAATAAAAATAAATATCAAGAACCAGAAAAGGAAAACCAAAATAGCCCACCATCAGTTCAAGATTCCTCGGCCATGCTGAACGAAAGTAAAGATGAAATTCAATTTTACATATACACATAGACAACCTCCTAGTCCATATGCCAACCATTTCAAGCACGTGTTGAAAACTTAGGAGTGTTGACACATTCATATCATAACAAGTAGTAAATGGTATTGCGTCTAAAAGAAGACCCAACAATATTAATAAAAAAATTACTTAAAATGCCAAGTTTACTAACACAATTAGATCCAATAATTGCATAAGCTATGCATTCACTTAATCAACTAAGTTGTGATCAATAAAAGATCAACTGGATGCATAATTACTTCACAAAAGATACTGCAGTAAACGAATAAACTTGCATTTATGCCAATGTGATATAATAAACTTTAAAGTATGTATACAAAATTAACATACTGAAAGCCAAACTATCCAATGCACCCTGTCAAGAACATTGTCACATCCTACTTTTCCTAAGCATAATATCTTTGCATCATTGTCTTTGCCATTTCTATGTCCTCTGCCCATTAAGATTTTTGCAAACTAGTATGCCCAAAAAAAGGGGGAAAAATACAAATTTCAGGACGAAAAGTAATAAATGGAGAGACAGAAATAAACCCCCCAAACAGCAAGGCTTCCTAGGAAATTCTCATAAAGCTCATTGAACAATAACATTCTCTACTTAAAACAAAAAGGCATCGCTGTTAACATCATCAAGAACTACTCATATCAGATTAGCTAAGCAATCAAAGTAAACCAACCATGATGAAACAAAAAAAGAAACCCCAGACTCAGAGGTATAACCAAATTTAAAAGTAAAAAATTGTGAAGGATTAATCAAGTCACGAGAAAATAAAATCTCCGTAAAGAGCATAAATCAATCGAACCCAGAGAAACTTATTACAAGAAAAGTTCATAATTGGATTGAACTTTGCATAAAGTACAAATCTTTGTTGAAGAAATTTGCTGGGTCAAGTTAGTACCTCAATAAAATGAGGACGAAGGTCTCTGACAATGACCCGCATTTTGTAGTAAGGGGAGTCCACCAAGCGGGCGAGAATGTCGTCATCAAGAGGCCTCTTTCTGGTACTAATATCTGAGGGAGGAGAAGCAGTTGGAGGAGCCACTGGTGGCTGCTGTGGAGGGAGGTTCTGATGATTTGGTGCAGTTTGGGCAGTTTCCATGACTACTACTGTTGCCTCTTGAAGTTTTGCTGATTTCTGAATTTCACCGGTTAAAATTGGTTCTTTTCTTCGCCGGCTAATTTCTCCTTGTTTACTCCTGCTAGCTCTATCATGCATAAGAGCCTCCGATCTTATCTTTGGCTCATACTTCGTTTTTGCCCCTAAATTTCTAGTTTCTTTTGTTACCGTCACTTCACATTAAGTAGTCCCTCCAGCCCATCTTATATGTCATAACCAACTTTACACACAATTTATAAAAATTGTAAAATACATGAAACACATATAGAAAACATTGCCATGAAGGGTTAAGAGAGATTCTTCCTCCTTTGCTTATATAGGATATGCTTTGTACTATTAGATGTAACATTTTAACACAAACTTTGTTAATATATTAATTAGTTTTGAATTTTTATAATTCTCTTTCTATTTTATTGACTGTTTTCATGATTAATCATCACCCTTTTTTTTTTTTTTGTATGTAAGCGCAGTTGTTAAAAACTAGATATAACAACCCAAATGAGATGATCATGCATTAGTTTTCTAGTACCAAAAAGAAAATAAATGATCTTTGCACATCCAAAACCTTCATTTCCATTAGCTTTTGCTTATATAACTTATGATTGGTAAGTTTAAAATGTATTATTATTATATTCAATTCAAATCCAAAGAGTCTAAATCCAGTTTTTAAAAAAATAATTAATAATATTAAAACGATCTAAGCTCTTATAAACTTGCATGTTTACATCAACAAATAGTTTTAATAACTTAATTTCATCGAAACTTTTTTTTTGTTTAATAATAAGAAAAAAGCACAAAAAAGCAAAAAAAAAAAAAAAAGAAGTCAATTGAAGTTTGCCTCATAAAAAAAAAAGAAATTTATGTAGGTGAAAAATAATCCTTTTCAAGACTCTAGATTTTGTGCAGGTACGAGAATTCCTCTGTTGATGTGAAATGCTAACTGAGCAATACTCCTGCTTTGAAAGTTCAGGTGGCAAATTTGTAAACTACAAAACGATTAAAGGAGTAGACTGCAATTAAGTTTAAAGTAGAAGGTCCGGATAATTCCCCATCATTTCGTCGAATGACTTCTTAGTACTAATATCACAGCAAAAGCAAGAAAAATCCCAAGAAGAAACTCTTGTGTAGGAATAGGATTGCTTCCTACTAGAAGATGAACCCGAACAGTGACAAGCTTGTCAGAAGGACAGCCATGGTGGCCTCTGTAACTGCATCTTATTTCCTTCTCACTGCTGATTATGGCCCTGAACCTAATGTTCTCGACCCAGTACGTCCTTTCCCAGAACTTATTACTATTAGGATTCTTTAAAAATTTTTCATTTTGGCATGCTAGATGTCTTCTTTATTTATTTATTTGTAAAGTTTTGGTCTTTTGGGTTTTGGGGTTTATGCATTAGGTTTTGCCTAGGTCTATATTACATGAATAGGCATATGAAAATCTGAGTCAGTGTTATTACCATGTAAGTGGTGATTGAGGGGCGTTAATGGGCATTCGTTTGTTTTTCAATTATACAGGATTGTTGGACTATGAGTTGAAGTTTTGAATGGGGATCATGAAAAACTTGGATTGATGACTTTTTAACAATTAGGACGAATTTTCAGGGGATTGGATTGGATTGCCTTTGATTTTCATGACTTAGTCGTGCTTAATGCACGTGTTTTTGTTGCTATATATGCTGGTTTTCTTATTGCTTGAAGTTGGCTTTTATTTTTAATCTTTCGAATCAAAATATATTTCATGCTATCCCATGCTCTGTTTGACAAAAATTCTGTGGATTGTGGTCTTGTGGCTTCTGCCAATGTTAATTAGGTGTATGTAGCAGTTCCAATGGATTCAAGTGAGCTAGGAAGCAGTTCTTGCACATTTTGAGCTGCCCAGAATTTTTTTTTTTTTTTTTGGTGGGGGTGAAATTCAGTACTTTGGCCATTGTGATAGCCCATAAATAGGTGGTTGGTATTGCTTCCTGCCAAAGATATTGGATGGGTGAACTGATTAATGTATTTGCTCTTGACCATTCTCAATTTTTTCATTGAAGTTATGTGGAGTTCATAATGGTGAAAATTTTTTTATTTTTTGCCGTGATCCATACCTGTTGTTGCCATATGGTCATCCAATTTGTGTTTACAAGTGATAATAGTTATCTCTACCCTGTGTCTCTGTGCGTGATTGTCTGTGTCTTGGTCTTTGTGCATGGAGCTTCTTGAAATCACAAATACGCTTCCAGTCTCCTACGGTATTATGAGTGCATTATGGAACTGTAGTTGCCGGATATTCACAATTTGCATAAGATCTTGCTTTTCAAGAATTTGCTAACATACATGAAATCATGCTTCCCTCTCCTTTTTGTGGTTGGAATCTTCTCATATGCTGTGGATTATGTAAGCAGATTCTTGGACTGCATTTTTTTAAAAAAATTATTTTTGTTCAAATATGAGTTGTTATTATATGAGAACCATTTGATTACTTATGACGAATTGAATCTTTATCACAAAAGTAAAAGGAAACTGGTAGAAAGTACGAAAGAAATCTTGATTTCGCAGTCGATTGTACATTGTTTACATTAGTTAAATCGTATCATTCCAATACTAATTCTGCCACTGGATGACAGATCAAGAATGCAATATTGTCAGCAGAGCGTTCTGTGAAGGAGTTCATCTTTGGACCAAGCAAGGGAATTCAAGAAAATGAAACCAAGAAATTGGCCTCCAATGCTGGAGAGAAACATCCCTAGTTTGTTATGTATCAAATCAAAATCCAGCCTATGTTTTTGAAGATTTCTATGGCAGATAGCACTAAAAAAACATGAAAGTTGAGCAGAGATAAGCAAGCCTTCTTCACTTTGCTGGCTTATCAAGCTGTAGACGTGACTATTTTCAATCATGTACATGTAGTAGAGATAGTGTGTGTAGCATAAGTGCTGAAACGCAATTGGAAGCACAGAGACATAAAAAGAGTAAATGCGTTTGAGTTTGAAATATTTGCCAATATGATCTCTCTTGCTGCATAAAGCATTGGAAAATAAAGCTGTACGCCCCTTCTCAGAGCAGGAATTATCAGGCTGAACCATTCTGATTCCTTTGATACTTTGATGTAGAGAATAGAGACGAAAATTGCTGAATTCCCAATCAAACCTTTCTTTGTTCCCACCGGCGCATTCTTTTAGCGACTTAGTTATACAGTAGTTGTCGGAGGTTGGACTGATACCTGACCTGAGCTTTTCACTTGGGCAAGTGAACTGAGAGAACCCTCCTGTTGCCTGTCAATCTTCTTCTTGCTAAAGTGACCGAGTCAATATCTGAATATGCTGAAGTGTGCGGTGCTATTTTGTTTCAACAACACTCTAATCCAAAAATGATTTTATTTAGTATAAGAAGTTTGGATGCGGAGCGATGGATGATTAGACATTGTTTGAAACTTTTGAGTTTTCTTAAAATTAGTGTCTGCTTTAATGTCATTGTTAAAGCTATTTATAAGAAAGAAACTGCACTTTCTGCTGTGATTTGTTTTTGTTGTTCTTTTTAATAGCTTGATGTTTTCTTGGGGTTTGGGTCACTGCTGGTTTTGAGGGCTGATATACAGATACGAAATGTGCGTATTTGAGACTTCAGGGCGAAATTCATTTTCTGTATGTCATTGGTCCAGAAATTTGGACCTTGGAGAAAAGGATTTTCATTTGTATATTTGTCAACATGCTATAGTTTGTAATGCCAGTAAGTCAAAGAGTTACTTGAGATAGGGAACAAGATCTCATAAGATCTTGCATGTTAATGAATGTCTAGGCTTGCGAATTGTTTACACAAGCCACTAATGTTTTTACAGTATACCTTAGAAGAAAGATCTGCTAAGTTGCCAGTTATAGTATAAGATCTTGTCATGATATATATATATTGGTGTAGATAAGCTTTCAGCTTTCAGACATCACTGCAACTGATGTTATGAAGTATTTTTCAGTTGCATATTTTAAGCTTTAAGCTTTTGGACTTCTGTGCACCTGATATTACTAATAAAGTCCTTTCCTGCTATAGATTGATGGTTGTGTTGCACCAAGTACAACTTATCATTGAGTCGAGTAAATCTGATAAAAGGAATCGTGGTTACATGTTTACATGCGCAAGAATCTACTCAATTCAAAGGATCAAGATATAATCAAATGTTGATACTCCAAAATTTTGGTTTTTGGTTATGTTTCACATACCTTAGAGGCAAATCACCAGAGAAATTCACAAGTTCATATCAGTGCTTCTTGTAAGAAATGGGGTCCAGAAGTGGACATATGATGTTTGACAATCTGATATATTTGTGTATTTCATTCCAGATGAATTTCTGATGTTATATTATTTTTGCTGTTGTCAGGAGCAACATTATCTGTGATAACAAACATATGCTTGTTGGACTTTCTGATGGATCATTGTATAATATATCATGGAAGGGAGAGGTAATGTGAATGTAGCAGTTCCTCCAAGTCTTTCAAATGCACATTGAAGAAGCATCTTTGTAGCTTAGGTGCTGAATTCATTTTTTAGCACCATTATAAAATGCTGTGTCTATTCCCTTTCTACTTGCTTAACATGATTTTAATGGAGATTGGAAAGCATCCAGAAACCCGCATCTCCCTCTCAAAAAGGTTCAACCAGGTTATCATTTAACTTATTCTGTGATGCAGTTCTGTGGGGTTGTTGATCTTGACATTCCATTCTCTGATGGAAGTGGAGCTGATAAATTGTCTCATTCTTTGGACAATGGTCTTCCTTCTAATGGAGCACGAGGTGTTTCTCTGCCCATGAATTATATGAGGAAGAAGTCTGCTATTGTGCACATGGAGTTTTCCTTCTCACTGAGGTTACTGTTTTTGCTCTTTTGTGATGGACAACTTGTGTCATGTTCTGTAAGTAAGAAAGGATTAAAGCAAGCTGATTTAATTAAAGTCGAAAAGAAGCTGGCATCTGGTGATGCTGTATGTGCCTCAGTTGCTTCAGAGCAACAAATTCTTGCTGTGGGTACAAAAAGGGGAGTTGTTGAGTTGTATGACCTCACAGATTCTGCTTCCCTTATTCGTGCTGTTTCTTTATATGACTGGGGGTAAGTGGCTTTACATTTCCATGGATATTTGGGCATATGACCTAGTTGTTTGATGATACTTCCTTGTTATTAGGCCAGTGCTTCTTTACTAAATGTCTCTGAAAGTGGCATTAATCTCTAGCCAGTCTGTACAGCTTCCTGCTTTATTCAACTTTGTTTCTATAAGCTAAGGAAATTATCACTTTTGACCCTTGTGTCAAAAAATCATTAGTAGCTTCTAGCCTGCTACTATTTTACTGCATTATTTTTATGGGTAACTTTGCTGCTCTTCACTTGCAAATTGTTGGATCTACAAAGTTTTCATTAAGACAGTGGTACAAATAGCTGACTGGAGATTCAGATAATATTATTTCCATATTCCAAAGTGCAATCTTTGAGAAGCAAAATGAGATAGACTGTTTTAAGTTTATATGATCCGGTGAGATAAAACTAGTTACTATGATTCTAAAGCTGCAGATGTATGTTAAGACTCAAAGTAGGCTCTCTGTGCTTTTGCAATCTGTTTATCAACCACTTGCAAGGAAAAAGATATTTCTACAGATAACACAAGGTTTAACAACTGAAATCTCACCATGTTTTTTGAAACTCTGAAAATATTTGCCCATATAGTTGTTGAATGAGAAAAGTTTGGGAGGTTCTTGTATCGTTTCAAATCTGAATACAGAACTATAGTTCTTATATTTTCTTAAACTGTGCTTGTCCCGCTGGTGTGGGAATTAGGGAAATTTACGCATTAGTTCGTCATTTGAAGTGCTCCAATGAATTAAATTTTCCTGATCGTGAAGCATTAGGCACACTAGGTTCATGTTTCCTTCTTTCTATTTTTACCTTTTTTTTCCTTTGGGCAGATATTGCGCAGATGATACTGGACCTGTCAGCTGTATTGCCTGGACTCCTGATAATTCTGGCTTTTGCAGTTGGGTGGAAATTAAGAGGGCTTACAGTTTGGTCTGTTTCTGGATGTCGGTTGATGTCAACAATTCGTCAAATTGGTTTGAGCTCAGTGTCTTCTCCAGTTATTAAGCCAAACCAGGATTGTAAATATGAGCCTATGATTGGTGGCACCTCACAAATGCACTGGGATGAGTATGGATATCGGCTTTATGGCTATTGAGGAAAGATCTTCAGAAAGAATTATCGCATTTCCTTTTGGCAAATGTTGTCTGACAAACCTGTCCAAGTTATTTATGGGGAAGATCGGCTGCTTATTGTCCAGTCTGAAGATACTGACGAACTTAAAATCCTTCATCTTAAACTTCCAGTTATGTGCTAAAACTAGGTCATGAATAAGAATTTATTTTTATGCTTATTAAAGAAGGTTATTACTGATATATCTTTGTCCATGTCAGGTTCTTATATGGCGCAAAATTGGCCTCTTTTACATGTGGCTGCTAGCAAGGATGGGATGTACTTAGCAGTTGCTGGACTTCATGGGTTAATTTTATATGACATACATAACGACTAAAGCGGTGGCGAGTGTTTGGAGATATTACTCAGGAACAGAAGATCCAGTGCAGAGGCTTGTTATGGCTAGGGAAAATTGTTGTGGTCTGCAACTACACAGATTCTCCAACACGTAAGTGAACAATGCACATATTGCTGTGATTTGAAACTATGGGCATGCTCAGATATTTTTGAAGAAGCAGTGTATGATAATAGAAGTTGATTGGAGTGGAGAGAAAATAAGATGTGCACATGATTTTTATCAACTGGATAAAGCAAATGAAAGAGTTCTTTGGAACTTAATTTTGTGGATCTTAAAATGGCTGAGCAAAGCCAAAATGATTACAATAGGAACCAATGATATTTGTCATATTGTAAAAGGTCTAACAAAACCCAGTTTTTTACATTCAGGTTATAGTATTTCCATATTTTATGGTCTCATGTTGGGTAAAAAAATCATTGCTCGTAGAACCCCAACTTCAAAATTTTTCTATCTTCAATGTTTTCTGGTTTCTTGCTTATGCATTTCTCACTGCTGAATGGCAAGATATGAATTGCTTTTCTACCCAAGATATCACCTTGATCAAAGTTCGTTACTTTGTCGGAAGCCATTGCTTGCAAAGCCAATGGTCATGGATGTCTACCAAGATTATCTACTTGTTACCTATCGCCCCTTTGATGTCCATATATACCATGTTAACCTGTCTGGAGAGTTGACACCTTCTAGTACCCCAGATTTACAGGTAATACTTGTTTCAAGATAAATTCTGTAGATAATCTTGCTTCTAAGTTGATATGAAACATTTAAAATTTTAATGCATGTGAGTCAATTACAAATTGCTTGTTAAGTGAAGGTATCACTGTAAACAATTATTCTTACTTGCGCGTTTTTAAGTGATAAAATGACAAACAGCTTTCTACAGTACGTGAACTCTCAATTATGACTGCAAAGAGGCCATCCTGCTGGCAATGCGTTTTTATCCCAGATCAACATCCTATAGATTATGTTTTGAGGAAGGATTCCTCTTCATCAGACCACTTGGCCAGAGAACCTGCTAGGTATGTGCATAGATTTTGAAGTTACTTGCTGCATTTGCAAGTTTTCAAGTGATGGTGATTTTAATCTGTACGTTTAGATGCTTGATATTGAGAACAAATGGCGAGCTTTCCTTGCTCGATTTGGATGAAGGGCGGGAAAGAGAACTCACTGACTCTGTGGAGTTGTTTTGGGTTACCTGTGGTCAGTCAGAGGAGAAAACAAATTTAATTGAAGAAGTTTCATGGTTAGATTATGGCCACCGTGGAATGCAAGGTAAAAACTTTTTGTCGCACTTGAGTATTTACTGTACTTGTGTTTTTTCAGTTTACATGTCTCATGGGTGCTAAATGCTGCAGGTTTGGTATCCTTCTCCTGGTGTGGACCCTTTTAAGCAGGAAGATTTTTTGCAGGTAGTATGACCCATTTGATTACTGTTGCCTATGAGGCATATGTTTTTATTCTGTCATTTTTTTCCTGTGAAGGGCCTGTATTTTGATTGTCTATATAGTTGAATAGCTTTTCATTTGATTTAAAGGCAACTGATTGGGCTCCACGCCACATAAGTCCAAAGATTAGGTGTTCAACAATATATGATCTAGCAGTCTGTGATGTAAAATTCTCTATATTGATAACTTGTAGAAACTTGTAACCATGCAGCTATTGATGATTTTATCGTTTTTGGCTAAGGTGTCTATCTTAATAATATTGAGGTTGCTGGTTTATAGAAGCTGGAGGCAGGCAAAGAATGCTGGAACTTGGATATTTTCCTCATAGAACTTAAGTGTTAAGAGAGGCGGTTTGGAAGGAGTCTTTGGCCATATCTTTTAAGATTAAAGGCAGCATAATATTGAGGAACGCCAAAGACTATTGAACTTGTACATTATTGCACACCAAAACCTTGCAATTGGCACTTTAATTTTTTTTATTATGTAGGAATTTTAAGAGACCACATCGTTCAAGAGGTTCCATCTAAAAAAGTTTTGATCAATCTGAACGAGATCTGTATATCTTTAGTATTTTCCATCTACTATCATCTGGAACTTCCGCCTAAGTATCTAAAATTTCTTGGTCAAGTGTCATATATACAGTAGTTTTCTATTAGTTGACTTATTTTAGCCTTATGTTATCCTCTGGCTCTGATCTTTTTTCGTATTAAGATAATGATATCCTATGACTATCCACATGGCATGGTTCTGGTTCATGTGAATCTTGTTTTACTGTTTCTTCAATGATATTGGGAACTTTGGTTATGGTCTATTTGGTTTGCAGGTCAGCTATTTTAAGTATTCAAAACATACTAGTATTTGGGAACATGAATTGTTTCTAGACATGTAGACCTACTACTAAAAGATTTGTTTGTCATGCCTCAGGGTTGTAGTGTCTTGTATATTTGCTCTTATTGATGTTATTTATCTGAATAATGTTTTGTGGAATCCTCAGTTGGACCCAGAGTTGGAATTTGACCGTGAGGTATATCCTCTTGGTCTACTTCCCAATGCTGGAGTTGTAGTTGGTGTATCCCAGAGAATGTCTTTTTCAGCATGCACGAGTTCCCATGTTTTGAACCATCTCCTCAAGCTCAAACCATTTTGCATTGCCTACTTCGGCATCTTCTTCAGGTACAACTTGCATTTTCTTACATATGACATTCTGCATTTCCACTGACAGCTGGTTCCAATATGGGATAGAGAAAGAGGATTGTGTGTTTGGTAGCTAGGATGATAATCACAAAACTCTTGTTTAACACAAATCTTTCTAGAGCAGGATATGTGAAGAGGATTGGTGGAATGTTAAAATTGAAGTCAATTTGCAGTAATTATGAAATTGGTCTTGCAATAAGTATGTCACTCATGATTATATAGAATAGAAAAAAATAAATATCATGTATGGGTGACAAATAACAGCTGGAGCTGGTTTAAATTGCTACAGTCTTAGTCAGCAGAATGTCTTTTGGAATGCTGGCCATTTTTGGAATCTTAAACAAGGACAAAGAAACTCTAGAATTTTATCTTTGTCTACACAGATTGCTGTACTTATGAATTGTTTTTTTGAATTTAGTGATCCAGACTGTAGCTGGATGCATATAATTGCATTCCTTGAGGTTTTCGTGGTGTATATATTTCTTTATTGAGTTTTGCTTGTAATTTGTTTGATTTCTTCCTTTTCATCAGAGGAACAAGAGTGAAGAAGCTTTACGTTTGGCGCAATTGTCAGCAGAGAAGCCACATTTTTCTCATTGCCTTGAATGGCTTCTTTTTACAGTATTTGATGCGGAAATATCCAGGTAAATTGAGTAGAAACCTCAGTGGTTCAGTCTTTTTCAGTTCTCAAAATTTTGACTGAGAAAAATCTTGCCTTTTTGTTCCTTCTATTCTGTGCCTATCCCAAAATGGTCTGTTTACCTTTTTGTTTAACTGGTCTTCTTTGGTAAGGCTACCTTATGGTTAATTAAAAAGTTTGATGGTCTTCCTTTGGTAAGGCTAGCTGATAGTTTTTTAACTTCGGTATCTCAATCTTAGATATAATTCCAATTGGTCAGACAGCTTCATGAGATTAAGTTAGGCATCTTTTTTAATGAGGAGCAAGTGATAAATTTGATATCGAGTCAATAATTTCACTTTTTGTATTTTAATCAGTTTGGATTATTCAGTCTAAATGAGAAAGATAATATTCTTCTCTATGCCCTTGGATGTCATATATATCTTGGTTGTATTATTTCTGGCTAGTCTCTGAAAACTTCTTGTTTTAATGTTCTGTAGGCAAGCCAGCAAAAACCACACACCTGTTCCTAATCATGCTTCTACCTCCTCTCTTTTGGAGAAGACCTGCGATCTCATAAAGAACTTTCCAGAATATTTTGATGTGGTTGTTAGTGTTGCTAGAAAAACTGATGGCCGACATTGGGCAGATTTATTCTCAGCTGCTGGGAGATCACAGAGTATGTATCTGACTTTGTCTTTATAACATGCACTTTACAGCAAAGACTGCGTAAAAGGATGGAGAAAAGAATTTTTTTTTTTTCACTTTAAATCAAAACTGGCCAAATTACAAGGCTCCTGGTTAATGACAAAGTGGCTTTTTATCTGTTAGGTTATTTGAGGAATGCTTTCAGCGCAGATGGTATCGTACTGCAGCTTGCTATATTCTTGTGAGTGCCACTTGCAATTACCCTGAAAATTCCTGAGATCCTCTCTGTAACAGTTTTCAGATATTAGCAAATCCAAAGTTTCGGCTTCTGCTTCATGTGTGCAAACATTATGCAATGAAGATTTTTTTTTTTTTTAAATTTGGTGAACCCAACATCAAATAATATCGATAGATGTCTTGTCTAGTAAGTCAGCGACTATCTATGGTTGGTAAAAAGGTTCGTCTTCTGCTTGAATAGGGCCAATAAATAGATTTGACCTTCATAGGTTTTAAAAAGACTTTCTTATATGGTGTTGACCGTGTGATTGCTTGCACTTATTCTGTAAATCAACTAGACACACTGAGTTTTTCCTTAGGAGATTAACTGTATATGCTGCATGGAAATGGTAACAATGTCTAATTTTATTGCTGCCTATTCTATCAGGTTATCGCTAAACTTGAAGGTCCTGCTGTCAGCCAGTACTGTGCGTTGCGTCTATTGCAGGTTACCTTCTGATGCTTTCAGTTTTGTTTCCCATGAAGTAAAGGCTCACATGGGCTAACTCTATATGTTCATATCTTGTCAAATATCAAATGAAGAAATTATTCAAGAAACTACGAAACATCTGCACTCATTAGACTCTTCCCTGGTCATCCAAAAGCAAATGCGACTTATACTTGTCAGATAGATTCTTTGTTGTGTCCTTCTAACCCAAAGGTTTCTTTGGTATCTTGGTTATGTTAGTTTTCTTTCAAGTTTTGTGAGTTTTAATTACTATATAAAATTCATCTGATTTTCTGCAGGCAACACTCGATGAATCTTTGTACGAACTTGCTGGGGAGCTGGTAAGAGTTTTATCGAATAGACATCTCTTTGTATGAACTTGATGAATCTTTTATATACATTTTGCGACTAGCTTAACAGACAACTTGTTTTCTTATCAGGTTAGGTTTCTCCTTAGATCAGGGAGGGAATATGAACCTGCTAGCCGGGTACAGAGAAACTCTCGCCTAGATTCTTGGGTTACTTCCTTTTCCCATCTAGTCAACGGCGGCAGCATTTGGAGTCAAAGAGGTAAAAGGCAGCCTTTAGTATTTTGTTTAACAGCAATTGTATCTGTTTATGTTTTCCCTGCATTAACTAACTATTCTATTACTTCGTCCTCTCTAAACATGATGGAGCAGCTCATTTAAAGAGCAGAGTGCTCATGTTGCTTCTGTTAAGAACATTTTAGAAAGCCATGCTAGCTACCTAATGTCTGGGAAAGAGCTTTCAAAGCTTGTTGCATTCATCAAAGGCACACAGTTTGACCTAGTGGTGAGAGGATATTAATATTTCATTCACAATGCAACATGTGCCACTGTTGGTTGTATTACAATTCATGTAACAAAAAAATATATTTCAGGAATTTCTTCAACGAGAAAGATACGGGTGTGCTCGCTTAGAAAATTTTGCTTCAGGGCTTGAATTAATTGGGCAGAAGGTACAAATAGCCATGGATATTCTTGTGCTTTATTTAATTAATTTTTTTTTGTTTGTATTTTGACTCTTTGTGGCGTATTTGGTGGTCTATTCATCTTTTCTTCATTACATAATTAAGATAATCATATAGCTCATTGCCTTGTTCTACTTAAATCCTCCAATTTCGTTTGCACACACTTCCAGCTCTCATAGTGAAAAACCTCCAGCTGGAAAAAAGTTTCTTATTTTATTGGTGTGGTCTTCTTCTGTTTGTGTAAGTTTCATACTAATTGCTGCTTCACTTTAGTGGCATTTCAGTAGTGCCCTTTTTTCTGGTGTTCTTTCCCCTGAAAGTGTCGTGCTTATGTTGCAAAATTTTATATGCCTTGCTGTCTTAAGTAGTGCATTGAAAGAAAAAGATTAAAATTTGGCAATATTTTGTTCCTTTCGTAAGAACATATTGGCATCCGTTTTTCTGCTTTTGCTTGAACCATATTACTGCTCAGCATATTGCACTTTGACATCTATTTGCAAGTTTTGTCAATTAGTCCTAATTGAATGCCTCATTTGAAGTCTTGTTACACATCAATAATATTTAAGAATTCTTTGAAGCAAAGAGCAATAGTTCCTTTCCCGCTGCCCTGGGAAGAAAAGTTCGTTTTTTATTTGCTTCAGGTTCATTTTTTCTTTTTCCTTTTTGCTTCTTCTGATTCAGTCGTCATTTTTGCCAGCTTCAAATGGGAACATTACAGAGCCGGTTGGATGCAGAATTCCTTTTGGCACATATGTGCTCCGTAAAGTTCAAAGAGTGGATTGTAGTCTTGGCTACACTTTTGAGGCGATCCGAGGTTTACTAAACATAATCAATGCATGTGTTTGAGAATTTATCCTGTTCTGCATGTCTGCTAATGTGACAATTAATTGGTTGCTTTAGTCAGTGCATTTTCAGTTAACAAGTACGAGACAGTTCAAGATGTTAATTTTCTTTAGATTTAATTTTCCTTATTAAATTTCACAAAGATTGTATCATGCAGTACATTTCTAACCGTTATTTTCTGTAATTTCTCTCTAATTCAAACAAAACAATCACTTTAGAGTGAATAATTGTTTATAGATACTCCAGTGCAATAGTTGGGTAAATTGTTACTGTTTTTTTTTTTTTTGGTGATTCACGTTTGGCACTTAGAAGATCACTTCAAGTTCTCTTAAATAGGGATAATCTAGTGATTTTAATCACTTGAGGAAGATAAGAAAAGAAATTATCTAGTTAGTATCAAAGGCTGCAGCAGCCAGATTGTTAATTGTTTTGAATTAATTACCTTTGACATTTACTCAGGTTCTCTTTGATTTGTTCCGCCATGATCTGCGGTTGTGGAAAGCTTATAGCATAACCCTACAGGTATCTGAGTCATTCCTTTACAGATGTAAACGTTTGTTACACTCTTAGTTTCTTTTGGCTATATCTCACGTGCCTCAGCATCGGTTTTTCATTTTCATTTCAGTCGCATCCTGTATTTTCTGAATACCATGATTTGGTTGAAGCCTTGGAAGAAAGGCTTTCATCTGGTTCATATTCTTCTAGTACAACTTCAGATGAGAAATGAGCTCTTTGGATGCTTCGAAACCTTTTGCAACTGGTCAACCATGTTGCTTCAAATGATGCAAGTGCATGTGGCACTGCCTTCGAGTAAAACCTTGTTGGCCAGAAAGTGACTGCCACCACCTACAAATGAAATGCCTTGTATCGTGCTATTGAGCTGTGTAATGAGCATCGTCATGGTGATGGAATGAGACTGCGTCTCTCGAAAGTCATTGTAAGTTTTACTTGTAAATAAGCGATACCAGGGTAGTAAATTAGCTCTTAGCATTTTCCTTTCTTCAGAGCTTGTATCATTCTTCCCTGTGCTGGCTTTTGTGGCTTTCTATTTTTTGAGGTTTTGAAGGGGGGTGGAAGGGGGGGGGCGGTGCGGGGGTTCTGCGGCAACCATTTTGGGTAAAGAGAGACAGAGAGTGGTTGTTTTGTAGGGGGAAACTGATTGCTGAATAATTATGATATGATGATTTTTCAATACATTTTGATTTCGTGCCATACCACGCTTTATGAACTTGTTTATCACATGAAAGAAGTTCATGACTTTCTTTCCGGCAGCCTATGTTACCCAACCTAAATGAATTCTATGTATCAATCTGGAAGTCAAAGAGTACCAAGTAGTATCAGGAGTTTCTGGTAGTTAAACGATTGTCCCTGAATCCTAACCCAATCTTATGGTTCTGTGGCACATTTTTTGTTGATTTCTGAGCCTATGTTAACGAGTGAACTATCTACTCAAAAACTGTGGTACTCGCACAAATTACGTAGTATTGATGCTTTGTCGTGTACTGTCGCGCTTATCATTTGGTCTTCGCAATTTTTGTTTCCCTTTCGAAAGACACAAGGCTTTTTGCATAATTTCCTTCTCTTTTGTAGGAAGAATGTATAACCTTTTAATTCATACGGTTCTGGGTTTTATCTATAAATTTTACTTAGCCAGCTTCTGAAGACGAACTTTGAATGCCAGTCATGAATTCTCCATTAGATATTGTGCTTGACGGTGGAAGAATTAAACCTGGAGTAAAATATTTGATCTTTTTATAAGATGATAAACAAGGAGACTGCATCTCTGAAATCCAGGCCGCTCTGAGTCGGCGGGCATCCATACTTCTTCAACATCGAACTTAGTAACGTCTATATGGTACTTAGCTTTCGACCAGAAAATTGGGGTTGGGGGAATACAACGATCAACACTAATAACGATGACATAGAATTACTAGCTATACACCCAAACACGTATTTGATAGGTCCTGGCTCATCTTAGATTACTATTCAGCTTTTACATACATGCATCTGGTACCAATCCGAGGATCAGGTAATCACCAACTGAAGCTGATTGATTCAAAGTGAAGGTTTTCTGCTAAACCGGATGAGCAAATGGCGGCTACATCATGCCTCATCTGCTTAGGGCCGCACACGAGAGCTCCAACGCTTGATCCCTTACTCTGCAGCAAAATTCCTGCAAGAACGCTTCCGTCATACAATGATAAATCAAACCCAAAACGAGTGTTCGCCAATCATGGGAGTTAAAAGATTTGCTTACGCTTGAGGTCGGGTCTTGCTCCATAGTGCACCTTCATAGATTTGACGAGAGATTGATGGGGAAGACTCTCTAATTCTCTATCAGCAGCATCATGCATGGAGCCGGATGATCCTCCTGTTGTTGAATCTTCCAAATCCTGGATCTGTTTGGTTTCCTTGACATTTTGGTTCTTGTTCCACAGAAAAGCAGCAGTGGCCGTGATCGCGATTGAGAAGCATATGATGAGTGTAGTTAGCACGGTCCTTCGAGTCATCAGGTTGACCTTGTTAGTGTTGTGATCGATGGGGTAAATGTAGTAGCGAGTAATGATACCCAAAATGAGAAGGAAAATGACGAAAAGGATGAGATGATTGCGGCGAGCCAAAGCCAACTATTTTTGCCCAAGTTGGGAGATATGGGAGAATCTGATGGCAGTGGCCTGAAGCGAATGATCCGGGAAGGTTCCGCTTTCTCCAGCGGTTGCACCTTTTCTCTGGTTACATAAGCCTCTATTTGTAGGTCCAAATTGCAGGATCCTGCGGAAGCACCAGAAACTGGAAGGAGAAGGTCCAGCATGGAGAGATGCGAGGAGTTCCTGAATGTGCTGATCAGCAGTAGCTTGGGAGTCTTGCATTTTCGTGCTGAGCTCATAAACATCAAATCTCTGATGATAGAGATGAAAGGTGTGATTCCACTTCCTCCGCTGGCCATCACAAGCATGTCATGCCTGCATTAAAAGGGTTTTACCAGTTCACAAAAACGCTCGCGGTGCAACTCTATAGTTATTCTGATTACTACTAAAACACCGATTGGACTGGACAGAAAAACCTGAGAAAGTGAGTTGTTGGAGGTCCATAGGGTCCTTCAATAGAAGCTTGAAGACGATCAACAGAAGAGGGCGATGAAATCAGGTCGTAAAGCTTCTTAGTCCAACTCCCTTCACATTTAATCACCACACTGAGCGTGTCTGGTTCCAAATGACTGTTGGAAGTAACGGTGAACGGATGCCACTGCAGCTTAGAAATGATGGGGATATTCACGAACATAGTGCTTGTTGGAGTGTAGTTCAAAGCTGTATCGACAATTTGATGATAGTATCGGGAGTACACATTTAATCAGAGTATTTGACAAACATATAATGGTAAGAGAAATGGTGAAAAACTTTATTTACCTCGGCTTTTGGAGAAGTTGAGCTCGACAGTTTCACAGGGTAGAACACGAGCAGAAACCAGACGGACCTTTTGTCTTGATTGTAAGAACCTCAGGAATCGATCGATCACGAAGAGGTACATCCCAGGAAGCATAATGCAGATGAAAAAAAGGCCCTTGTGAAGAATGTAGAAAATGATGAAGAGGATGTAGAGGTTGTGAGTGTAGTAGAAGACTTCAAACATGCGTCGTCTGATGCTTGGGAAAGTTGTGCTCCACATCACTAATCCAGACAGCAGGCATAGCTCTCCTGCTATGTTGTTTACATAGGTTTGATCCCACATCTCATCCCATTTCAGCGCCTGCAAATTAAGAACAACAATGTTGCAAAATTTATGAATACCTTGTCAAAACAAATGGTAATGTAATCACCTATCTGCTTCTTCTTCTTCTTCTTCTTTTTTCCTCAAAAAATTTTTTGACAATATCATTGGCTTCCTTCATTGGCCATTGGAATTCGACAAATGATCTTGAATTTAACTTTAACCATGCAACTGGGAAGGGATGACGGTGGCATGACATGTTTCTCACGTAAAAAAAAAAATGACGTTCAATTTGTCTTTGTTTTCAATATAAGGATATTGCTGGATGCTGCCTGTCGCTGTCCATGGAGCAATTGTCGATGACGGCAGGAATTTCTGTCTCTAATAATAAAATGTCTCTAATATTAAATTTGATTTGATTCAGGCATAAGTAGCTAGATTGATTGACTTATGATCACCACTTCAGCATTAAAAATGGTCCCGGGTTCCAGAAGCCAATGATCGATCAACAAGAATATGACCTCGCACTTCTTCAAAGCACCTCTGTCCTTTTGTGATGGTGCCAACCACCAGAAAGTGGAAAAAGCCTCTTCCTTTTTTATTTTTTCTGTTTTTCTTGAGGCCAATGTGCACCCTTTTCTTCTATTGCACAATAGCCACTCAGCGGACTAAGCAAGATTATGATCCTGCAGGTGGGCTCAATTACGAGTAGAAATTTTGCATGCACTGCAGGTGGGTAGCCATGAAAAACCATAGATACTGCTCTCTGAATGTTGTTGGAAATCGAAAGAGAATGACAACTAAAACACTGTTTCATTTCTTTCCTTCACAAATTAATTGACACTCCGTGGGCAGCGTACTACATGTAAGAGTACTCTTGTAATTAGAGGTTTCCATAGAAATCAATCTTAATCGTAACGTGTTTGGATTGCTATTTTTAGGAGTTTTTGTAGAAAAATAATATATTATAGGAATTTAATGTATGTAAAATAAAAAAAATGATTAGAGCATACGTTAGAAAAAAATAACGTAAAAAATTTTTCTACGAGAAATCAATCACAATCCTACGTATCAGTTTTGAGGGTTAATGAAACTTCACATAATGGTCTCAACCCAAAGTTAGTTTTAGTAAAGATATAGCCAACACGACACGTCTTACTCCAATTTCGTATTTTCATTGCAAATCCAAAAGAGCATCATGATGTACTGCTTCCCAACAGGAATCGCATTCTTGATCTTGACACAAAGTGTAAAAATCACCTAACCTTTGCTTTGATTCACATTTGTGCTAACATATTTCTTAATCTTTTCAATTAAGTGACGTTAGGTGCCACCAAAAGTTGAATATGAGGTCCAAGGAACAATGATCACTAGGGTCTGCACTCACTATTGATCCCAATAATTGCTGACAAAGTTTAAGGTCTTAAGGGTAGGTAGTAGCTAGGAGTCTTCTGGTCACCTTATTTTGATTTAGTCCATGCTGAGTTTCCACCTTCCGAATATTGAGATCATACATTTCAATGTCATTTCTTTTGCATTTATTTCCACCAAACGTTGCCCTATGGGTTTTTTTTTCAATCCCAACTAAGAGCAATCAATTATCATATGCTTATTTGTGAAGTGAAAACCAATTTTATCAACCTAACATGCCATAATAAGTGGTCCAAAACGTAATGTTTATTCTTCACGACCAAAATTCATCATCTGCAATGTTATTATTCAGCCCTATGCTGACTGACTACAAGGAATTACCTTCTTCTTGAAGTTGATCTGAATCAAATCTTCAATCTCTATCGCTTTTTTGCCATAGGGAAAAACAAATTTAGAAACCAATGCCATGAGGGAAACGAACAACAGTTAGGATCTCAGTTATGCTTATTTCCCTTTTGTGTTTACATGGAAATTCGACGATCTCTTTTGAGTACGATTCAATAAACTCTTACCATATTATTCGATAATTTAATTTTTAAAATCATATAGGGTTGACATCCGTTTTTACACATCTAATGATGAATTAATTCTTATCGGTATAATATTCAAAAGGTACCATAGAACTCCCATATTTTCGTTTCTTTCTATACGTAAACCTAGAACTTTGCCCATATATTGATTTCATTCTTCACGTTAAAACAATTTTCTAAAATAAGTAAGTTAAAAGAACGGGTGGGGCAATTACGTTGGGAAGACAAATTATTTTCTTATTTAGCAAAGTAGTCATCAAGAAGATTTGACTCTGAACACCCCCCCCCCCTCCCCCAACACAAAAAAAAAAAAAGGAACAAAGAAGTTTCATTTCCCTTTCGCGATGCAAGGAAATGGATATTTTATGCATTAGAGTCGCATATTCTCCGGTTAAAATATCTCATTTATTCTTTGTCATATAAATCTTTAGTCAATGGACTAGACTTTAAAAATATATATATTTCAATTCTTCTAAATTTAGAAAAAAAAAAAATGATGTAAAGAAGGGAAAATATTACCTCTGATAACCGATGAGTGAGAGCCCAATAAATGAG